AATTTCGATTGGTCGATTCCCTTATGCACTATGCATTATGTGTTATGCAAGAGTCTGTGCTGTCCATTATAATGATCAAAAACGCGTAAAAAACGATGAAATTAAAAATATATGTCGCTGACAGAGATTTTATACTAATGTACAAGATAACTAAACGTCAAACAGAATATGTATTAAATATTTGATTTAAAAAAATTAATTTTATTTAAGTCATTTATTTCAGAAAGAAATCTAAACAAAAACAGCAGTATGAATGGAACATCTGTTAATGTAACCTACAGTAGTGTCTGTATCTGAACTTGTACTTAGTTCTTGATTTTTTAAAAAGTTTGTTTTCCAATACGTTATAAAAATTATATGTGGACCCACTTCCGGAATAAGTTCAGCGATTAATTTTTCATTTAAGTCTTTCATTAACTCCATTGTGATACCGTTTTCTTTAATTAAAATATAAATGAAATTAATATTGACAATTATAAAACATGAAATTATTTTAGAATGATTTTGTCATAGAGAAAAGATAATCTTTTAAAATACTATTAATTAAACTTACTTTCGAAAACAGTAGCATAAGCAATTAAGTCCAATTGTTGCAAAATATGTATAACTTCCATATCTTCGTAAAATGTTCACTTTTTACGTATAAAGTTATAAAAAATAAGTTTGCAATAGAATATATGACTTGAGAAGATATATTATGTGAAAAGCTGTAAAAAAAGTAATAATATAAATAATAGTGCACAATTTCATCACACACAACAAATTTTTGGACTGATCTAATCTAAGATTTTTTTACTTTTTTTATCTAATGTTTTACAGCTAAAACATTCTTAAGCCGGAATCCCACGGCGCGTGGTTTGCCGTAATTCATGACTTGGTTCATTTATGCTCGTCATAAATTCGACTCTCGAATTGATAAGAAACAGACTAAAATCGCGATTTCACGGTGCACAAAGAGGTGACGGGCTATGATCTTCAACGAAATTGTCATGGTTTGATGAGCTTCTACGCGCCGTAAAAGGTGTTTTTTATTCTTACTAATTCAAGAGCCGAACTTGTGATGGGTTTTGAAGAGCCAAGATAAAACTATTTATGTTAGGCGCGTAGAAGTTACCCCTGTTAAGCTAGCCCCACAAACCAGCGATAAATAACTTCTAGCACATACCAAAATTAAGTGCTAATTAGATGTTGAAGTGCGAAATTATGAAGTGCTAATTAGGTGCTCGAACCGTTTGGCAGAAAAAAAAATTTAGCTAACTTAAAAATATAGGCTAGTTTAGTATTAAGTTAGCCCCCCCAATAAAAAAATAGATAATTATTGCGTAAACCAACAAAACAAATACACTAGAATTAGGTGCTAATTAGGTGCTCCAAGGAACGACCAAAATAATTCGAAAATATATATTGTGGGGGTCGAAGGTTTAGTCGCTCTTATACTAAGAATGCAGCGGCCGTCGCCTTCGGCCTCACTGCCGGATTG